CAAATACCACCAATCCCCCCAAATTACCCCAAATCCCCCGAATCACCCCCAAATCACCCCAAATCCAGCCCAACCATCCCTAAGATCCACAACTCACTCCAAATCACCCCGAAGCCACCCAAAATCACCAAAAAGCCCACAAATCTACCCCAAATCCCCCCAATCTCCCCAAAATGCTACAAATCCTCCCCAAAATTCCCTAAATCCCCCCAAATCCCAGAAATCCACCCCAAAACTCCCCAAATTCACCCCAAGTCACCCCAAACCTCCCCAAATCCTACCAATCCCACAAATCCACCCCAAAATCCCTAAAATCCAAAAATCACCCCTAAATCACCCCAAATCACCCCCAAATCCCACTAATCCCCCCAGATCCTCCCAAATCACCCCAAACATCCCCAAATCCACCCCAAATCCCCCCCAAACGCCTCCGTACCCCCTGCACCCCCATACAGCCCCCTGCATCCCCATATACCCCCCCACGGCCACCTATACCTCCCGGAGCCTCTATACACCCCCTGCACCCCATAGAGCTCCCTGCACCCCAATACATCTCCCTGCACCCCATATATAGCTATACTTGCAAGCCTATAGGTGCTCACTCACCCTATACACCCTCCTGGGTGTCCCCAAGCCCCTGTGCATCCCTTTGCACCCCAGACTGCTATACGTAACCGTATGGCTCCCTACACCCCTATACATCCCCCTGCCCCCCATATAGCTCCCTGCACCCCTATACATTGCCCTGCACCCCAAAATGTGCCCCTGCACACCACACCACTCTCTGTGCCCCTATATATTAAGTGGGTCCCCCATAGAGCTCCCTGCACACCTATACACACCCTGCACCCCATATAGCTCCCTCTGCCTCTATATATTACCCTGCACCCCACACCCACATACATCCCCCTGCACCCCATACGGCTCTCTGTACTCCTGTATATTGCCCTGCCCCCCATATCACCCCCCGATACGTGCCCCTGCCACATATGGATCCCATATGTCCCCAGTGCGTTTCCGCATCTTCTCCCTGGACCCCGACCTGCGGCCGAACCCTGAACCCATCCTGGTCACCATCACGGTGCGGGGCCTGTGGGGCTGGGCTATGGGG